TTGAACAAAGTATCAATTGCTAGAAGGTTGAAGTCATCTGACTGTTCATAAGGTTTATGTTTCAGTGTCGCTGCACCTCCTGATTTACAAGAGTGGACCAAAAGGGCAGAGACTTTTGATAACCTTACCAATTCTGTTAGTAGCATTTGCCTGTATTGTTCTCTTCTGAAAGGTTCTTTTTTGTTAGCAAATGAAAAAGTGTTGCTTTGTGCAGGTGAGGATTGCAATGGTTGGGAAGTATGTAGGCCTACCAGATTCATATTTGTCTGTTGTGAAGGTTAGAATATATCTTTGATGCCATGCTTATTGAGCTAAAGTATGGTATGTATCCTCTGTTGATCTTATAGTGGGAATACCATGTTTTAGTTTTGCAATTGTAATTGTTTCTAACAAGATAAATGTTGCTCATGAGTACAACATGCTAGGAGGCAGCATGAAATGACCCCGCACCAACCAAAAACAAATAAACAATTTCAGTTGTTAGGCTGATCACCAGTGTGGAGTGTCACAGATATACGGAGTTTTTGTAGGCATTATCTGGATTTTTTATGACAATGATTGGTTGATGTGGGGATGTTGTATTCATTGGAGAAATGATAGGTTGAAATCTATTGTGATATATTTTGCCCACTAATCATTTTGATATAATGCATTTTCTAATGCAGAAGCTATTTAACAATGGTCCTTGTTAGAATAAAACTTGTATGATGCTAACTACTTAGTTCTTATTGTTTTGGTTAATTTCACTTGCAGGCCCTTCTGCATGCCTGCATTGCATGTTCATTGAAGCCATCAGTTGATTGGATTGCAGCTTCGGATCTTGAAGATGATAGTGCTAAATTGGTATGAAGCTTTTGCCAGTTGCATCTTTTGCTATATTTGTTGTATCTATCTCTGAGTTATGTCTGATTTTATTGATTGTTTTCCTCATCCAGACACCTGAAGCGCATGCTACTGCATGGGAAACTTTAAGGGTAAGCTTGATATTTTATACACTAGACTGTTTTTTGCCTTCTTGCACCTACTCACATAAAGCTTTCTATGGACAACTTGTTAATTTGCCATACCATGAGGTTTGTGACATGCATAAAACCAGTTTTTCAAGGAGCCCTGGATCAGGCCAACGGTTGACGACCAGGTGAATCAACCGATGAACTTTGTGGTTTTGAGACCTCTTCTGATTTTAGATATATAGTATGATTCATATGCTCACGACACATATTGCAGTCACAAAAAAGAGCTGAACTGTTTGAATTTTTCCCGTTACTGGCAATTTTAGGGTTCATTTAAGGGTTTGAAAATGATGACATTGTACACACTTTTATAGAGAGAATAGAAATATAAAATTGATGGAGGTCCCATTATCAGAGACGACAACAGTGAGGCAGACCTTTGTTTGGAATTGATTTGAGTTGGTGATTGTTTATTGTGATTAAACTTTCTGCTATACTCCCTATGATCTTCTATACTATGCACCTCTTTCTCATAGCTATCTATCTCTGTATGTATATATGTGTGTATGTGGCTGTACAGTGTACTGGTGAATTTTTTTAGCATTAAAATTCGACGAAGAAGTTGGGAATTAGTACCAAATTTTAGTAACGAATGAGAACTACGTTTTCAGAATGCAGCATGTGTCTTGGTTCCTGGTGGATTTGGAGATCGTGGTGTGAGGGGAATGATATTGGCTGCAAAGTATGCTAGGGAGAATAAAGTTCCATATCTTGGGATCTGCTTGGGAATGCAGATATCTGTGATTGAGTTTGCTAGATCTGTAAGTGATTTCCTTCAATTATACTTTTTTGGCATTATTTTTTACACCTTTTGTTACCCTTGCATAGGTCATATGTTTTAGGTTTTGGATCTGGAGAGGGCAAACAGTACGGAGTTTGATGCAGAGACACCTGATCCATTTGTAATTTTCATGCCAGAGGTACTTGCATTTCATTGTGATATTTTTAAGAGCTATTAAGTTCGGCTAACTCTTATTACATGGATTTAAGGTTATCATATTGTATCCACCTATGCAGGGTTCAAAAACACACATGGGAAGCACAATGAGACTTGGCTGTCGAAGAACTTTATTTCAGACCCCTGATTGTATCACTGCAAAGCTGTATGAGATTGTATCTATTACTTGACTCAATTATGGAAAATTAACGAAGAGTAATCTTTAGTGCAGTATATAATAAACCCTCAAAATATTTGCCCAGATTTAACTAAGGCTATTATGAAATATAGGGTTCTGGGAAACATGATATAAGAATGTCGGTTGAACGCTAAATTCTGCGTTCTATGTTTCTCTGTCTTTGCTGGTTCTTCTTTCTTTGCTAACAGATCACATGTTGCTGTTTGGTGCATCAGTGGTCTGTAATACACTGCTTCCATTTTTTGCTACAGAGAATATTTAGATTAAATAAATGCTTCGTAATTATACAATTTCTTTCTGTTTGTAGGTATCATAATTCAGAGTATGTGGATGAGCGACATAGGCATAGATATGAGGTTAAACATGATACCTGATTTCATTGAACAAAAACTTTTGATGGGCATGTTATATTATTATCATGCACATAGAATTATATGCTTAGACATGAGATGTATGGTGCAGGTGAACCCAGAGGTGGTTGGCATTTTAGAGGAAGCTGGCTTAAAATTTGTGGGGAAGGACGAAACTGGGAAAAGGATGGAGGTTGGTTTTCTGGTAGACTGGTCATCTCGGCTTAAGATCACCTATATTAATAGTTTTGAAGTTTCGAAGTTAAACAATCACCTCGTTTTGTTTTCTTTTTCCTCCTAGCCCTTCCCTTCTTGTTTTCATTTTTCTTTTTTGCCTTGGATTTGGTTTACCTTGATCATGTGCTCAAGCTTGGTGGTTTCAGCCTCTATAATTGCTATTTGCTATTTTATCTGCGTGAAAGAACAAACTAAATTTTGTTTCTCTCTATCTTTTTTTTTTAATGATCTTTGTCTCTGTGTTCTTCAGATTTTAGAACTTCCAAGTCATCCATTCTATGTGGGAGCACAGTTTCATCCAGAATTTAAGTCACGGCCTGGCAGGCCTTCAGCTCTATTTCTAGGTACTGATCGGTCAAGGGATTAACATTTTTTTTGGGTCAAGTGATTTACATTTTTTTTTTGGGTCAAGGGATTAACATTTTTTTTTTGGGTCAAGGGATTTACATTTCCAAATACACTATCTGTGCTTGAGCTGTGTATTTTATATGATAGGCATATCATTATAGGAGGTATCACAAAGCCTTTGTGCTGGATCATAGTTATTGGTTTTTGTTTTTTTTGTGGACATTTTTAGGAGCATTTATAGGCCTCTTGAGAAACAATCTTGATGACCTTTTCTTTCTAATTTTCCCCGAACTTTGTAGTGTAAAGTTGGGGAGGGAGAAGAGGGCAAAAAAATTAAAAAGAAAAAAGGGGGGGGGGGGGGGGGGAAGTGGTAATGGTGGTAATTTATGTCTTCTGATAAATTCCTTTTCAACTGAACATCTTTAGTTTCTCTTAACATTTCATTATTGAACTGTAGGTCTTATATTGGCAGCAACAGGGCTGTTAGAACCATATCTTAATAAGCATCAGAATGGAAGCCTATGAACAAATTGTCAATGGTTTGGACTTCTAAATCATACTTGCAAGGTACTTTAATTTCTGAAAGGATGAAAATTTTAAATTTCCGTCATTGTGCTCTGGTTGTCCGTGTGCCTGATCCCCTTGCATTTGTTTGGACCCCGGTTGGTCATCCCTTTTCATTGAGTTGAACTCATATCTCATGGAAAAACCAAAGTTGGCTCCAGAATTAGTCTCGGTTCACATATTGATATCACACACTTCCATGCTTTTTCATCCATGCAAGTGCGTTTTAACACACTTAACAAAAAAAAACATGTTTTCACACACACACTCACACACACGCCTACTTTTGAATTGGTTAGATTGGAAGTTCTCCTTGCTCACTCCTGCTTCTGACCTAAATTGGTTGGGGCCAGAAGCCATTGAGCTAGCCCTTGATAGCGTGATCTGGTTGGGCTTTGGTTGGATGCACAAAGGTGTCCTGCTACAATCTTTACCCATCTGTGACTTTCTGATGATAGCATCAACAGCCCTGTGAGGCCATTCCACACACTTTATCTAAGTGACAACTAGGGTGCACTTGTAATTTTGCCTATTTATCTGGTCAGGTGCAAAATTTTAATGCAAACCTCGAGGGTACTTGCTTGAATCCTGAATTTATGCTTTTTTCTCTTTCCTTTGGGTGCAGAAATCAGCCTTGGTCTAAGCTGAAGAACCTGCACATTAAGTTTTCTGAGAAGTGGATCCTTAAGAGGAGATACAATGGAGACCAAATTGCAGAAAGCTATGGGCTCCTTCCTGCAACTGAAGTAGTTGATAATTCTGTCTTATGTGTGGGTTTTAATTTAAATACAAGTTTTGCTTTGGTGCTTTAACATGGGCATATTATATTTTGCAGAGGCGGTTGCAATTGGAATCCTCAATTGTCTCGCCTCATTACCTCTCTTCTTAGTATGTTATAGTATTCGCAATGATAAATATTTTGTTTCGGTTTATTGTTTCGGTCATCTCAAAAACGAAAATGTTTTGCAAACGTCTCGGAAACATAATGGAAATGAATAAAAATTTTGAAAATTTATTTTCAAATTATTAATCAAAATATATTGAAACATCTTGAAATACATTTGAAATATTATGAAACATTAGTTGAATTATGTCAAAACATCTTAAAATATTTTGAAATACTCAAAGTATTAGAATTTTGATTCAATTATTATTTTGTTTCAATTTCTTTAAAACATAAATGTTTTTTTGATTGTTTCGATCGTTTTAAAACAAATCTTTAATATTTAAGTATTCTTTTTGTCTTTGTTTTTTCAGTTTTACAAGCATAGAAATTCACGACACGATGAAGTTAAGAAAGAATGGAAATAAAGTTCTTATTCTGAAACTCTGAAGACTCGGTGCAAGGCTTGGGGTATTTACAAAAAAAAAAGCCCCAATGCAACACCGAAGGGAGTTGTCAATTTGGGATGCTATATTATCTATTTGCAACGTTGAAAAGTGTTTTAGCATTTCTGAATTAATAAATTTGTTTTAATAACAGGTGTCAAAATAGGGTGTTATTTTAATATTTTTTTATTAAAAAATATAATTAAACTTATAGGGTGTTATTTTAATACTTTTTATTAAAAAATATAATTAAACTTAACTTTGGTTGCAACCTTTCTCTCTTTCTGCTATAATTTTTCTAAACAAACACATAAATTTTTTATACAACCTCTTTTTTTTTTTTTCTCTTCAGAGTTTAGAAAATTGTCGCCCAAGATCATTGTTGTCATTTCTCAATCCTTGATGTCATCCCAGTAAAAAAATTTAAATTTAAGATGATATTTTAGCAGTTGTAAACCACTCCCATTGGAGTTGCTCTTACATGCCTGTATTCGAAAATTGGACAAAATAAGCAGAGTGAACAGAGCTGATTCTCGAGAGCATTTGGATCAACCTGAACCTCTATTAAGCATCTCATTGTACTGAATATATGACCTCTGTCTTTGTAGCTTCATTTGGTTGTAGAACTTGGCTATGAACTTCTCTGCCTTGAGATCAATCCCTTCTTCATCGAATGGGATCATCTCTTGACAACCTTCACATTCATCATCATCGTCATCTGCACCTTTTAGAAAACTATTTCTCGCTTCGTAACAGCAATAATCTTTTGTTTCATTGTCGTCATCGAACTCAAAATCATGGGCGAAATCAACTTGTGGGTTTATGCACGGGATGCGAGGCAACTTGAACCGCGAGGCTACCGGGCGATGCATCTTGACATGGAAAACGGGAGTGTCGTCGAAGGAGAACTCGCGTTCTCCGTAATGGAGAGCACCACGTTCAGTGCCATGGAGAAGGTTTTTGAGGTATTTGGTTAGGTCCACTATAAGTCTTCTTTTGAACACACCACCTTTCCTGCTCCATAGCAGGGCCAGACGTAGGAGGTTCAATGCTCTACTAGCAACTCCAGATATCTTGTGCATTTTGTTTTTTCTCAACTCTGCTAGCAAGTAGTAGTTTCGCTTAGTTGTTCAGGATAGAGATAAGAGTAAGAATGGTAATAGAATGAATTATGAAGAAGTTCTTCAGAATTCAGATACTGATGAGGAGAGAAAGGAAGACAAAGACTATAAATATAGTTACATTGTGGAAAATGATACGCGGTAGGTTGAGAAAGAGGGAAAGGGTGAGGTGGTTGGCGGTGGGTGCGTGGAAAAAGAGAACTGGGATGTGTTGGAGGTGGTAGACACGGCTGTACGCGGGGGGTAAATAAACAAGTGAGTGAGGCTGTTTTGTTTCCGTAAGTACCCTCGCATACAAGCAATTCTAATGGAATTTAATTTAATAATATAATTTATTGACATAATTTACTATGATATTTAAGTTGACTATAAGACCCATCAAATATTTGAACTTGATAACAAGAGAATCCTATGATGAGAGGCTTGTCTAAGACCCATCAATAAAGGTTATACTAAAGCATTTTTTTTGTCTAAGAACAACGTTGGATAACAAGAGAATCCGATGATGCAGTAAATACCTAGTCGACATAGTTTAGGAATACTGATGAAGACTACTCACTCAGGTACCAATTCATTTTAAATTCTCCCCCTATTACATCATTTATCATATGGTCAAGTATTAGATACATGAGAAGGGCATTTCGGTGATAATAAATTAATTCAATGATCTCAAAAGGGCTCACCCGCCCGCACCTCAGCAAATTCCGTTAGCTTTTTTGTTGCAACGTTGCTTTCACACACCATTTTTCCCCCCTTCTTTAAGAAGAAAATTCTTGGAAAAAGGTTGAAGACTTTGTGTTTGTGCAGGTAAACGTCCATCTTTCTTTTATTATATAATTATAATTTTTGTGTTATACACCCTCAAATAGCGAAAGAGAATCCCATGATGAGAGGCTTGTCAACATTCATTGCCAAAATTCTCCATTTAAACCGTGGTTGCAAGATATCATCTGATTTAGTAATGTATGAGTCCTTATAAATTAGGAAATGAGTTTGATGTAGAGAGCAAGATCACTGATGATGTCTAAAGTTAATCTTAAGTGTTAGCTCAGGAGTTCAGCTTAAAATGGGAGGTCAGTCATATTAACTGAGGTCAGAAGGCAAGGGTTGAATGTCTCTTGAGACAAAACAACGGCTGGATAACCACGAGAGGTTCTTAAAGCATTAGGAAGCTATAATCAAGGTACCTAATCTCAATCAACCAAGATTTTCTCCTATAATTAAAGAGAACCCCACGAAATAAGGGCAAGAATCTCGGCCAAGATCCCACTGAATAAGGAACATCCCTATAAATACTATGTAACGCCCCCAAGGAGAGAAGTGGATCCTAGAGGCAAAAATTAGTCATTGTACTCTTGCAATCATCATTATTGAAAGACAAGGAGCAAAAATCTCCATTAAAGAGTGGATTAGCCGAGCTCCTGAGCTGATGAACCACTATACTTTTTCTATGTTAATCTTTCCAGCCCCTAGAAAAATATTTCTTTCATTATCACAACACTGCAAAGCAAAGTTACGATTCATTACTCATACAATTCGGTTTACACCATCAGTTTGACGCCGTATGTGGGAACGACTGTTTCTGTTACAAATAAAGCTGATTTTTTAGTGATTGATGGTATTAACGCGAAACATGAGCTTAAATTAGACCAATCCTCTACGAATGCAAGATCAACAGGAAGCCGCAAATAGCAGACAACCTAAAAATGCGCAAGAAGTAGATCCCCCCATGGGGAGCCTTCCCATGAATAATGAGATGGAGGCCCTTCGTCTTGTCAATGAACGTCTAATAAAACAGAACGAATAGCTCTTAAAGCTCCTACAACGCCCATAGGAGGCGCAATCGGCCCAAGGAGGCCAGAATAATCCACCACTAAGAGAGCAATCGCATCTCGACCCCCTCAGAGAAGTTAATGAGGTGAGAGAGATAGCTAGACCTTGGGCAAGAACCTCACCTACCCTCTAGGAATGGTCACAACGAGGAAGTGCAAAGTCAATGTAAGGAAAGGGAGAGGAGCGACTTCTTCCCTTATCAACAGGAGAGAAGAGAACATCACTAGGAGCAACGTTTCAAAGACAACCAACAAGAGCTCAGCCAGATGAAGGAGGCAGTGAAGAGCAAGGCCCCAGTTACTATGGATGCCTTGGTGCAACAAATCGAATCCCCATTCACTGCTGGGGTGCTGCACTTCCCTCTCCTACATAAATTCAGAATGTCGCAGGTGGATGCTTTCGATGGGACAAAGGATCCCGTAGACCACCTCAACACTTACAAAAATCAAATGGAGTTGCATGGATATCAAGATCCAGTGAGATGCAGGGCCTTTGCTATCACCCTGAAAGGCTCAGCCTTAGCATGGTTCAACAGACTCCCCCCAGCCTCGATCTCCTCTTTTAAAGAGCTGTCAATCTCGTTTGTGTCCCACTTCATTGGAGCTCGGACCTATAGGAAACCGAACTACCATTTGTTAAATGTGAAACAGGGACTTGATGAAAACCTATGATCTTATGTCCAATGGTTCAACTCAGAATCCTTGAAGGTGGATGTCCCAGACGAAAAATTTGTTATTACAGCCTTCATAGCAGGTCTAGAAGTTAAGTCAAAAGATCTAATGTTTTCCATCTCAAAGAACCCCCAGGCTAGTATGGCGGAGGTGCTTGCCAAAGTAAAAAAGTACATAAATGGTGAGGAAGCGCTCCTCTCCAAGGTCGGGAGCTCTTCATCGAGAAAGGAGAAAGGGAAGGAAGAAAAGAAGAGAGAACGAAGTCCCAGAAAGGAAAGAGAACGAGGTAGGTCTCCAAGAAGAGACAGAGAGCGTTCCCCAAAGAGAAGAAAAAATGTCAGGGATCGCCTCGGCCCTCCACAACCAGAGCTACAACCGAAGTATGCACCCTGACAGTTCACTCCTCTGATTGCTACGGTGTCTCAGATACTGTATGAGGTGCAACATGAGAAGTTTTTAAGGTGGCCACCCCAGATGAAAATAGACCCGGTAAAAAGGGTTCCTACGAAGTATTGTGACTTCCATAGAGACCATGGTCATCACACCCATGACTGTATCCAATTGAAGAAGGAAATAGAATTTCTAATCCAGCGAGGGCAGCTGTGGCGCTATATGGCCAATGATAATAAAAATCGAGCTCTCCCACCTCCACCCCCTCAGCGTCAAGCACCAGAGCCACACCAGCAACCTATGGGAGAGATTAGAGTGATATCTGGAGGATTTACCGGAGGAAGCTTTGATAGAAAGGCCCACTTGAGAAAAATTAGAGCCACAGAAGCTCCAGAAATATATACTGTGTCTAAGTCTTCACGCTTAGACACGACTATCACTTTCTCAGACTCAGATTTGGAGGGCTACCAACATCCCCATGATGACCCTTTGGTGGTAAGAGCTGTGGTGGCCAACAAGATTGTCCATCGTGTTTTGATTGACAATGGCAGCTCGACAGACATTATTTTTGCTTCTACTTTTGATAAAATGGATATAGGAAGGGAAAAGCTTGAACTAGTACATGCCCACCTATTGGGATTCTCAGGAGAAAGAGTGTTACCCCTAGGGTCAATCCAACTCATCTTGACCTTAGGTGACCCACCTTGTCAGAGTACAAAAACTGTGAAATTCTTAGAGGTTGATGCACCTTCAGCATACAATATGCTCATTGGAAGACCCTCGCTCAATTCTATAAGGGATATTCCCTCTGCCTATCACCTTGTAGTGAATTTTTCAATAGAAAACAGAGTTGGAGTGGTCCGAGGAGACCAGTGCGTAGCACGAGAATGCTACATGACATCCATGAGAAATAAGGAGGTTGAGAGCATCCAATTGGATGAGCTTGACATGAGGGATGAAATCGAGACCAAGCCAACACGATCAGAAGAGCGGGAACTTGTTCAAATGGATGAGGAGCCAGAGCATCTTGTTTACGTTGGATCCAAGCTGAGCAAGGAGATCAAGGATCTCCTCATCCAATTCTTGAAAAGGAACAAGGAATTTTTTGCAGGGAAGCAAGAGGACATGAAAAGGATTGATCCTTCTGTCATCATTCCCAAGCTCAGCGTGAATCTAGCTTGTAAGTCCTTTAAGCAGAAGAGGAGAAGCTTCGCCCCGGAACGTCAGAAAGCCATCAATGAAGAAGTCAGCAAGCTCCTTCACACGAAAGCCATTAGAGAAGTGGATTACTCAGTTTAGCTAGCCAATGTAGTCCTAGTCAAGAAGACAAATGGCAAATGACATCTTTGCATTGACTTTACAGACCTCAACCGTGCTTGCCAGAAAGATAGTTTTTCTTTACCTCGGATAGATTTGATTATAGATGCTATTGCGGGACATGAGCTCCTCAGCTTCATGGATGCTTTCTCTGGGTACAATCAGATCAGGATGGATCCGAGTGACCAAGAGAAGACCTCATTTATAACTGAGCAAGGGACATACTGCTATCAAGTGATGCCTTTTGGGTTAAAAAATGCAGGAGTCACTTATCAGCGTCTAGTGATAAGATGTTTCAAAAATAGATTGGGACCTCCATGGAGGTCTACATTGACGACATGCTGGTTAAATCACTAAAGGCAGAGCTCCACATTGGACACTTAGCAAAGTCGTTTCAGGTTCTGAGAGAATACAAGATGAAGCTCAACCCAGCTAAATGCGCCTTTGGGGTGTCAGCAGAAAAATTTTTGGGCTTCATAGTTAATAGCAGAGGGATAGAGGCTAATCCAAAAAAGGTAAAATCAGTGTTGGATATGCAGCCTCCCTCCAACACGAGGGAAATACAACGTTTAACCGGGAGAATAGCTGCCCTGAGTCGTTTCGTTTTCAGATCAAACGGCAAGTGTCAGCCCTTCTTTCAAGTCTTAAAGAAAGCCTTTCAATAGGATGCTCGGTGTGAAGAAGCTTTCAAAGCATTGAAAGAATACTTGAGCTCCCCACCTGTCTTGGTAAGCCCGATAGAAGGAGAAT